TATTCATTTTATGTGGGGGTTTTCATTTAAGAGAGGTATATTTGAATTCTGTCTAATGGTATCACTACCTGGGGGACCATTGTGCTCTAAGCTTTTCTGATCTAGAAAATGGGGGTGCTGATTGTTTTTACTTCCCATGATTTCAGATAGGTTGAGTCAGGGAATGCAATAAAATACTTAACACAGTGAGCCAGAGAGATACTACAGGGGTTAAGGCACTAGCCTTACACATAGCCAATCCTGATTTGATCCCTGGCACCATTGCATTATGACTGCAGAGACAGGAGTAAGTCCTGAACTCTGCCAGGTGTGGCCCGACAATCCTCCCCCAAATACTTAGCATAGATTATAATATAGGTTATGTTACACACCAGAATTTATTGATGTCACTTCCATCAACATCACCATTAAAAATAATCAACTTTGGGGGCTGGAGTGATAGTATAGCTTGATAGTATAGTAAGACCCTTGCCTTGCATATCACCAACCAGGGTTCAATCCCTGGCACATCATATGGTCCCCCGCTTCCACCCCATTCAGAAATGATTCCTGGAACACAGTGCCAGGAGTTAGTCCTGAGCATCACTAGATGTGGCCCAAATCACTACCCACCCAAAATCCCCAACTTTGTTGAGTTGTAATTTATGTATAGTAAAAAGCACCAATGAATTTTGACAAGTGTTCATGCTTTTGTTATGAACACAACAGAAATATTGAACATTTTCAGCACCTTGAATCATTATTTTAAAATAGGAAAACTGATATCTTTGCCAGTAATAATACAGAAGAGAAGCCACTCTGTAAAGAAACATATGGTATCAACTATGAAAATGGATGAATAAGTGCTAACTAGACTTATGAAACCAAGGGAAAGTACCAGAAGGACCATTTATTTTGAGGGGCTCAGGGGACTGGTCAGGTGCGCTGCTTAATACTGCTTTTTTCAGCATCAGTTTTTCTCTTCTCCTTTGCTTAAAAGCCCTTTGCCTGTCCTTTCTTTATGTATTAGGAGTGGGGTTGTTTCGCTGCCTGCTTCATTTTTTTCATTTTGGTTGAATTTCTTGGAAAGAAAATTCTCTTGTGGCTAATAATGCTGGATGTAAATTTGGCAAAGAAGAGAGCCACTAAGAGCAAAAGCATCAGAGAAAGGTCAACTGGAGGGATGGAGGGAGGGAGACCTTTTGCTGACGTCATTGCTAAATCCCTGGAGTCTACTTGGAAGCCACATTTATCCCTGGTCCCAGTTATAGGAGGGTCAGTGAACCTTCAGCAGGAACCAGTAAGTCAGCAGCCCATACCCACCTCTGATTAAGTGGCTTTAGACATACCTTTTATGAGTGAGTTTTTCCCCTTTCAACAAATGCGAGGTAATTCTGTGGCGAATAGATAGTGAATTCAATGATTCAAGTCATGCACTGTAGCAGTGTCCTCCCATTGTTCATCAACTTGCTCTAGCGGGTACCAGTAATATCTTCATTGTGAGACTTGTTGTTACTGTTTTTGGCATATCAAATATGCCACATGGAGCTTGACTGGCTCTGTTGTGGGGGCGGGATACTTTTGGTGGCTTGCCAGGCTCTCAGAGAGGGATGGAGGAATCGAACCTGGGTTGGCTGTGTGCAAGGCAAATGCCCTACCTGCTGTGCTGTCAAGGTTAGAACTAATACGGGTTTAAAATATATTGATACCAAAAGACTTCACAAAAGACTAATGGACTAATATGAAGACATTCAGATATTCATCTAAATAATGTGGATGCATGTCAAAGTATTTGACCTAAATTATTTTGATATTTCATATGAAAACAATTTGATAACTATTCTCCTTTATTTGAGTTAATGATCATAACCTATATGGCCTATTGTAAAGTAAGTAAAGTAAAGTCTCTCCCGTTGATCGTCGATTTGCTCGAGCGGGCCCAGTAACGTCTCCATTGGAGACTTTGTTGTTACTGTGTCTGGCATATCGAATACTCTCGGTAGCTTGCCGGGCTCTCCGAGAGGGGCGGAGGAATTGAACTCGGGTCGGCCATGTTGGCTGCGTGCAAGGCAGACGCCCTACCCGCTGTGCTATCGTTCCAGCCCATCTGGGCCCGCTCGAGCAAATCGACGATGGCCTATTGAATTGTTGTTTAATACTTATTTATTTAAAATTTTTGGTAACACCCAGTGGTACACAGGGGGCTGCTCTCAGCTTGGTGCTTGGGGTCACTTGTCAGGGGACCATGAAATACAGAGATCAAAGCTGGGCCAGAGTTGCTGTCCAGTAGTTGATGCAGGTTCCATCCCTGTCACCCCATTAGGTCTTCTGGGTCCATTAGGAATGATCCCTGGTAGCAGAGCCAGGAGTAAGCCCTGAGCACTGCTGGGTGTGGCTCAATAACTAACCAAAGTAACAAAACCCCACAAAAACCTTGGGTCTCCTATAAGAAAAGTATGCTTTCTAGTCCTCCGAGCCATCTCCCTGCCCATATTTAATTCTTATGAAACATTTGTCCCTCCTGTTGTGGTTAGTGCACCTTTAAAGAACTCACTGCTGTGCTAATTGCTGGGACCGTGGCAGGGAACTCTATAAAATCTCACCTTCTGGCCCTCAGAAGAGAGAAACAATGTCCCTTCCTTGTGCCAGTTTCTCAAACTACTGCATTTGGATTCCCCCCACCCCCTTTTCTGATAATGATTGCTGGAAATGGGAAGTCTTTTGTGAATATTCCACATAAATTTGCATGTTATCCATGTAACTGTACATTTGTCCCTAAATGGTCTGTTCAGTTATATATTTGTGTATAGGGGCCACATGCACTTTTTAGTAAGGTTACCTGTGAATTTAACAACTCTGGGCCTCCCTTTTCTTTACAAAACTTAAGGATTATTTTAGAGCCAATCTTACCGTATGGGGATTCAATGCATGTCGATAATTTAATAGTATCTGGCACACACTAAGTGTTTAACAAATTGGTAACTATTACTTTTGTTCACAACATTGGTTCAGTAAGAAAAACAATTGATGACCTCATTATTGACTACCAAGTAGGCCCACAGCAAGATTCTTTTTTCAGAGGTGAAAGCATCTCCTGTGCTTGTCATTCTTAGAGAGGATGGAGTTGAATCTCCTCCCCTTGAGACTGCATGGGCTGTGACCTGCTTGTAGCTTATGAAGGTGGTAGGAATGGGTGACTTCCAACCATGAGATGGATCTAGCTTTCCTCTAAAGAGCTAGAATGTTCACTCTGCCCTCTTGATGCCATCGTACAGAGGCCCCGAGAGACCACCTAGAGAAACCTCAAGTTCATCTCAAGAGAGGGAGCTGCTTGCCTCAGCTGTCTACAAGGCTGACCCCCAGCTAGAATCACGTAGCCAAACCCACAGAGACCAGGGGAGAAAATAAAACTGTTCTTATTTTTCAAACAGCAACATTGCGGTGTGACTTGTTATCTAAAATTAGAGAACTAGAACGACGGCCTTTAAGAGTTCAAACACAGTGTCATGTAGACTTACTTTCAGGGAATTTTCACTGCACATTTCCCTCACTGAGGAACAAGGTTTTTACATTATTTTCAGGGTTTTAACTGTGCATCAGTTAGATGTTTGGGCCTGCTACCAAGTGGAAATTTGAGATGAAAACTAAGGAATTAGCAACCGGATTATCATTCCCTTATGCATTTTTCTGTCCATCAATTAATTTCTCAACATGGGAACCTTCTCAATCTCCCCACTGGCCCCACCCCCCATGGCTCCTCCAGCAACTCCTACTCCATGTAAGTTTCCGTCCTAATTTATTGCTTGTTAGTTTCATTTTCCCACTGACCAGCAGCAATCAAGTTGATTGTGTGGTATCCCTGAAGTCTACCTAGAGCCTGCACTTCAAAGCAAACTGCTCAACAGAAGCAAGGCTACTAGTTCTTCTACATACAAGTAATTATTCAAGGACAGTTCTAAGGAATTTACAATTCAGCACTAGACACCGTAACATTCACCCAGGCAGGCGCAGCGAGAGAGCTGCTAGAATTGAGTTCTAAGGTGGATAAACAGGGAGCGAGCAACACATACATAGGCGGTGTGCGGCGGAGGGGGGCACCAGGAAGGATCCTTTCATTGATTTCAGAAATATTGATTAAGCACTGTGACACAATCCCTTAAAGCGCCCCTCTCATTAAATACTAGCCACTATTGTGGTTGTTGATATGCAGCAACCCACAAGAAAACTGCGGTAGCACGTGCCCTCACGGTGTAGGGAAGGAGAGCAGAGCAGGTAATTATGTAAAAATTGTGCTAGGTGCCGAGAAAACAACAGGCGACTGATACCCTCTTAAGGATGTTGGGTCCTTAGAAAGAGTGGGTGTGAGGTGAAGGAAGGCAGAGGTGGGAGGGTTCTGAGTTGGAGTTGGCGAGAAGGGAGACGGACTGTAGGGGGCGGGAAGACTGCGGGGCTGAGCCGGTCGTTTCGGGATGCTGATATTTTCTGCCCGACTAGAGAAGGATCATGCGCCTGGGGTCTACGTGGTTGCTCGCAGCGTTTAAGGGGGTTGCATTCTGAGTGCAAGCTCCACTGCCTAGCGTCTCAGAAAGGGCTGAGGTGGAAACTGCAGTCCTAATTTCCCGGGTTTCCATGCTTCCCGGTTCACCAGCTTCTCCACCTCGGGCTCCGATGATCTCGCCTGCAGCAGATCGGCAAGGTCCTGGGGAGGCGGGGGTGGTCGTCGCAGGGACCCACAGCGGGTAGCGTCCGCAGCACCGCGCGGGCGGGCGGGCTGGCGGGCGGGGGCGGGGCTTGTGCTGCGGACCTCTTGGGTGGCGCGAGCTCCGCCCCCCTGTCCGAGGCCCCGCCTACAGACCTCCTGATTGGCTCCAAGGCACGGAAGGGCGGGGCATCCCCGCGAGACTGGGAGAGGTCGGGCTGGGACGGGCGTGCTGATTGGCGGAGGCTGGGATTAGGTCATCGCTAGCAGGTTCGGGCGGCCCGGACGCCGGCCCGGGAGGCCGAGGCTGCTGTGAGAGGGCGCTCGAGGCTGCTGGCAAGCGAAGCAGCCAAGGAGGCGGGGGGGCGGTGGCTGCTCGCGCTCGCCGGCTGCTCGGTTTCCCGGCGCCGCCGCGGGTCTGCCGCGGCGTTTCCTGCCCATCCGCCCGCTCTGGTGGCGCGTGCCCCCTCCCGCCACCCCCGCCCCCCGCCGTCGGAGCAGCCGCCCCTCCTGCGGGTCCCGCCGGGTCGGGGAGTCGCGCGCGCCCGCGGACAGCGCGCCCGGAGCGGAGCCGGCGCCACACCTGTGGAGTCCGCGGCCGTCTGAGGGGGAGGGTCCCGGCCGGCGCCCCCCGGGGCCGGGCGTCACGGGCGGCATGGGGCTCCCCGCGCTCGAGTTCAGCGACTGCTGCCTCGACAGCCCGCATTTCCGAGACACCCTCAAGTCGCACGAAGCGGAGCTGGACAAGACCAACAAATTCATCAAGGAGCTGATCAAGGACGGGAAGACGCTCATCAGCGCGCTCAAGAGTGAGTGGCCCCCGCGGCCGGTCTCGCGGGAGGGTTTTTTTTTTTTTTTGTGAGGTGGGAGGGGGAACCCGGAGGGTCGCGACCCCGGCGCGTCAGGAGGGCGGGAACGGGGACCCAAAATGGGCGAAGACCCGCTCTGGGGGCGAGGGCGCGCAGGTGTCCGGCCAGCGGGGGACGCGGGTGCCCGGTGCCGTCGCGGAGGGCTGAGGGGAAACCCCGGCGAGGCTGCGCGCCCCGAGACGCGCCGCCGGGGGAGAGTGGCACACCTGCTGCTGCCGCCGCGCTCGCGCCCCGCAGCCTCCTCAGGGCGCCGCCGCGCGCCTGGCGGGCGGTGGAACTCGGGGGGTCGGGTCGGGGGCGCCGGGGTTCGGCTCGTGGTTCCGGGGAGCAGCGACAGCCGGAAAGCAAGCCCGCGGGTCTGTGGGAATCGGGCCCGTGGTACGCGCGCAGGTCCCGGTGCCCGCGTTAGACAGGAGGTGAGAGCGGTGGGAGTAAAGAATCAGAGTGTTCCTTTACTCTAAGCTGTGGGCGAGGGTGTAAAAATAGCTCGAGCAGAGCCCGACTCTCTCCCCCCGGCTCTCCTGAGTACCTCGCGCTTATCCTGGGGAACTCAAGAGTGTGAGAAGGGAATGTCTTGCATCCTCACTCGGGAAGCAGAATTCGCAACGCATCCCTGAAAAGATTTTTTTTTTTTAAATCTCCAGCCCTCCTTGCTTATTTCCTTTTGGTCAGGGAGAGGGGAAATATACGTTCTGTGAATGCATTTCCCTCGCCTTGGCGCTGGGACAGAGAATTTCCAAGAAGAGCTCTGAAGATGAGTGCCTGGGTTTGAATGCTCGTTTTTTCATTTTTCTTCCTTCCCCCCCCCCCCCCCCGTGGTGTTTTTCTTTTTCCTCCCCCCTTTTCCTTTAGTCCATCCACTAAGCAGTCCTAAGGTCCACCTTCCAGTTTAAAAATCAAGAAAACCACAAAGTCAGATGACAAAATTGACAATTGACTTTAACTTGAAGTGTCGTTTCCCCCCCAACCCCCCCACTCTGCTGTGGTTACCTCAGTAGGTGAGATTTTTCAGTCTATGTTGTGTTGGCAGAGAAGGGTCCAAATTGTGAGAATTGTTCCTAAGCTTTTTTAAAAGACGCTGACTGAAGTCACATGCCTGTGATGGGTTTCTCTGGGCCTGTTTCTAAAAATGAAGAGGGAGACGGTGGAACCCCATGGCAGTGTCAAACTAGACACAGGGGCCTTGCAGGAGGTTGAGACTTGAAGTATAAGAACAGACTTTGTTTTGGGGCCACATACAGCTGTGCTCAGGGCTTACCCCTGGCTCTGTGGTTGGGGATCACCCCTGGTGTGCTCAAGGGACCATATGGGGTGCTAGGAATCGAACCCATGTTGACTGCATGCCATGCAAGACAATCTTCCTTCCTACTATCTTTCTGGCCAATGTCATGCCCCGCCCCCCCCTCCTTATACAGGGAATGCATGACCCCTGGTTCTGAAGTAAGTTAATGTTGCTATTATTACAGGTTGGGCCCATGGTTTTTAAAACTGAAATTTAGACTGGCTTTTATGTTTTATTTAGCACGTGCTTGGAATACCTGCTGTGTTCTGGGTACCATCGTGAGCAGAGTAAGATGTAGGTCCAGTGGCACCAGAAGTTTACTCTGCATGATTTTAATGGCCTCATGCTTATTTCATAAATGAGAAAATAGACTTGGGGAACTCACAAATGAGAACAGAGCCACACAGCTCTACCAGTGGGATTTAATTTTGAGCCTCTACTACTGTCGGGGCCAAGGATGGAATTCCTGGTGATGCAGAGCTCTTGATTTCTGACTCTGTCTTGACTTGCCCAGATTGGATGCATGGACCATGCCTTCTGGAATTTGGACTTGCATCTTTTATCTGGAATCTAGGGACTGTGCCTTTGGGTGTGACTGGCAATTTAGATACCACTATTTAGGTATGTAATTCTCTGAGAATTCTTTGGGTAGGAATGATAGGGTTCAAGTGTTAATGCAATAGACTGCATAGTTATAAACTGAGGGAAAGACTAATGGGGCACTAGGTTTTCTAATCCTTGTATATCCTGCTCTGCCGCTATCTGTACTGTTTTACTATTAGCTACTGCTTAAACAAGTCATGTGACTGCTGAAAGTGGATGTGATTGATCATCATTTCTCAGATTTCCGATATTCCCCCAATACTGTCATTAGGAGCTTGTTGCATACTGTCCAACTGTTTAGTATTTTTCTTTTATTTATTTATATTTTTGTGGTGCCAGGAATCCAATCCAGGGCCTCACATATGTGAGATATTGCCTCTATACCTTTGAGCTAGTCCCACATTATTTTTCTTAAAAAAATTTTTTTGAAGGTTAGGGGGTATGCATCAGCCTCAGTGGTGCTCAGGGCTATTCTGTTCCTCCCTTTGAGCTCAGGAATGACCCCTAGCAATGCTCAGGTAGACCTTATATAGTGGTGGAGATTGGGACCTTAGCGGCAGGATGAAAGGAAAGCGACTTAATCTGGCTGTTGTCTCTCTAGCCTCCTAAATAATCTTATCACTATTGCAAATCTTGTATTAAAAATAAAATCGTAAAATAAACACATACTTTATATATGTAATATTGATTTAAGTGATTTCTAGATGCTTCCAACTTTAGAATTTTGTTTTATAATTAATGTTGATATGTCTTGAGGTTCATGTTTCCTCCTTAAGGCAATAAAATTGGCCTCCAGAAATTTTCAATGTTTAGTTAGATCATGGTTATTGCTTTTTTTTTCTTCTGGGGGATTTTTGCACCATACCCGTTGGTACTCAGAGGTAGCTCATGACTCTCTGCTCAGAGGTCACTCCTGCAGGTAGGTGTCCAAGGGACCATATGTGGTGGTGGGGATCAGACTAGAGTGGACAGCATGCAAGGCCCTGTACTGTCTTTCTGGCTTCGATACTTTGGTTTATGAATGAGACTGGAGATCGGAGAGTCTGGTAGCCTGCCAGGGTTGGCATAGCACAAGTCTATGTAAACCCAAGTTGTCTTAAGTCCAATGCCTGTTTGTTTAACCTGAAACCAAACTGTCCTCTAGTTCATTAGTCTCTTGAATCCCTTTGGAAATCTGATAAATGAATCCTGTGAAATCTTTAGACTTCCGACCTCTGGTTTGGACAAACAGAAGATAAGCAATATAGTGATTTGGGACTTACATTAAAGACGAAAACCTTTCTTTAAGAAAAAAAAAAAGATAAAAATATCTTGATTTTGTGGAAAGTTTTTTGGCGTCAAGTCATGGCGACTCTTTGTATCTTCAGTGCAGATTTAACTAGACTTTCTCAGTGGATATATTCATTTGCCCAAGACTGTTTCTTTGATGAATCATTGTGCCTGCCATGAGGATTCTGTATGTTTCAGTCCCCCTCTCCCTCCTTTTTTGGGTAGAGATGATAGAGGATGAAGGTCAAGTTCAGAGGTGGAGAATTAAGGGTATTAGGATTATCCAGGTTCTGGATCTTTATCCCATCACTTTCTGGTTGATTTGTGGACAAGTCAGGAAGGCTGAGCAATGCCATTGAAAAGGGGATCACCATACTCCCTTTCAGGGACTGTATTGAGGACTATATGAAGAATGTATGAAGAAGGCATTTAGCTTGGAGACTTACACAGAGTTTTACTCATTTAATGGGGGTTAATTTTCCATTAACCTTGAGTATTGTGAAGACTGCTAACAAAAACCATGAGAGGAGGAGCATTTTTTCCTTGGTTTGGGTATAAGGAGTCTTTCCCATGCCAGTTGTTATAACACATGGTTGTATATATATTAACCACTGGGGAAGAATTCTGATTAATTCTGTTTGTACAAAGTTGTGGTTATACAAAAAAACAAAGCCCAAAACATCAAGTTCCACAGGCTTACAAGAAAAAAAGGCATCCCCCAACCTTTTTTTTCCCTAATAGGATTGTGGTAATTCAAATTTCAGCCTCCTCCTCCTCCTCCTCCTTTTTTTTTTTTTTTCCATTTTGGGTGATGCTCAGGAGTGATGCTCACTTCTGGCTCTGATTCAGGAATCAGTCCTGGTGGTGCTTGGGAGACCATATAGGATGCCGGGTATTGAACCCCGGTTGGCTGTGTGCAAGACAAATGGCTACCTGCTGTACTATCACTCTGGCCCCGAACTTTCAGCCTTCTTGTAGGTTAACTCCCCCCTCTCCCTGACTGGGGTGGTTGCCTTTCTGCCTCATAGAAATGCTTGCAAAATGGATTGGACTCTGGCTGTTTCTTAGACTGGGCAAATGAAGCATGATTTGTTAATTTTGAGGTGTAGTGTGGGGTTTCAGGAGCTATATTTCTTCTCATGTCACACTTGTTGCTGGGGATCTGCTCCTTTAAGTTTAACTTCTGCTTTCTGAGATAGAGTGAGAAATGCAGCTAGAATCTTAAAACTCTGGAGGCAGGGGCGTGGCTCAAGAGCATGCTTAACATGTGTGAACCTCTGAGTTTGATCCCTGGCCCTCCTACCTGGGTGACCCAGTTGATCCCTGAGCATTGAAATGTTAGACCCTTACAAGAGTCTGAGCATTGCTGGAAGCGGCCTAAATAAATAAGATATCAACTTTATTGAGATATAATTTACTTTCACATTTAGTACACCTATTTATAACTGTAGTACTGTCCTTCATCAATTTGCTCTAGTGGGCACCATTATGTCTCCATTGTGAGAATTGTTACTGTTTTTGGCATATCGAGTATGCTACAGGGAGCTTGCCAGGCTCTGCCGTGCGGGCGATACACTCTCGGTAGCTTACTGGGCTCTCTGAGAGGGACGGTGGAATCGAACCCGGGTTGGCCTCATGCAAGGCAAACACCCTGCCCGCTGTGCTATCACTCCAGTCTATTTATAACATCCAACTAACATTTTTCTGGTCTGTATTTGGTTTTGGGCCATACCCGCCAGTGCTCAGTGCTTACTCTTGGCTCTACTCAGGGATCACTCCTGTCATT